TGCTGCCTTCCAAGGCACAATAGCAGGGAGCTGGATTGGAAGTAGAGCGGACAGGACTAGAACTGGTGATCTACATGGGATGCCAGCCATGACATTGGCTCCTTTGCCAAGTCATTCTACCACGGAAGAACTGGGGAAGGTGGTGAGATTTGAGCACAGGATGAGTGCTGAACCCAGTGATCTTAAAGCTCTCTTCCAATTCTGAGATCCTGCGATTCCATATGGGGGGGGGGGTATTCTTCAGATTCTTTACGTGGGTTAAATGCCATCTAATTTCAACCCTGGGACTTATGTACTTCTAATGCTCTTCATTGTACTCCTGGTTCAATTAATTTAGTCCTATTCAATTTTACAAGAGAGACCAATTGACTTGACCAAACATAAAAAAATTAATGGCTGACTCTTCTTGTAGCTAGGGATAATTCTAGTCTGGCTTGGTGGCCAGAAAAGCAGGAAACGGTTCGGGTGAAAGAGAGCAAAGATTCATACAGAAAGCGAAAGCCAGCTCCTCTCTCCCTTCCTAAGCATGAGGTGGGCTGTGGAAGATGACAGAGAGGGTCTAAGTCACTTCCATCACTGTGGCTCTCCACATGTCAAGTTCCAAACCCAGCTGTCAGCACACAAGAAAGGACAGGAAATTGACCTGGTTCAGTCCATCAAGAAGTTACATTCACACTAGAGTAACCAACCCGGGGAAAATGGGATTGGTGAAAAATGCTGCCTGGGGCTGGTGTTGTGGCGTAGTAGGTTAAGCTTCTGCCTATGGTGCCGGCAATCCCATATGGAATCAGTTTGTGTCCCAGCTGCTCCTCTTCCCATCAAGCTCTTTGCTATGGCCTGGGAAAGCAGTGGAGGATGGCCCCAGTGCTTGGACCCCTGCACCCAAGTGGGAGACCTGGAGGAAGCTCCTGGCTCCTGGCTTTAGATCAGCATAGCTCTGGCCACTGGGGAGTGAACCAGTGTATGGAAGACCTTTCTCTCTGTATTTCTCGCTCTCTGTCTATAATTATACCTTTTAAAGTAAATCTATAAAATAAAAAAAGGAAAATGCAGCCAGTGAACGTAGAATAGACCGGCTGAGAGCCATCATCCGGTCCTGAAGGAGCAGAGCTGGCCTTGGAGGGGAAACTGAGGCCGTAGACCTGGCTCTGCCATTGAGTGGCTGTGAAATCTCGAGTGAAACATTCCCTACTTCTGGGCTTGGGTTTTGTCATCTATGGTGCTGCTGTTTAAAGTTATCTGACAGGTGGGTGGCACCTCCTAGGTCCCAGGCGCTGAGGTGAACACCCTACAAGGCTCTCAAAGTCACAGGCTTTGGAAATCTCTCAAAGACACAGCACCGGAAGCAGCTTCTGCCCCTGCCCCTGCCCCTGCTGCCACTGGCTTCCCCTCTCCTCATGGATCCAGGCAGAAGCTCTTCCTCCAGTCCCTTTCCTGTAGGTCAAGGAACTACAAAGGAAACAGTACAAGGACTGAAATGGTTAACCTGGAGAAATGATTGGCTGTTTCTTCAGCTTGTGGAGGTGTGTTTGTGGTGCTGGTGGAGGTGAGTGACTGTGAAATCTAACCAGGCCAGGGGAATATACAGACCCACTTGACACCAGAAGGACCCACACTCAACAGTGAGTTGAATACAACAGCCTTCGTCTAGATGGAGTGCAGAAGAAACTGAAGACAGGGGTCCCGTTACCTCTGAACGTGGACCTTCATGGGCAAGACCCACGTTCAAGAACTCACTTGTCCTGAATGGTTTGGGCTAAGTGTTCCAGGAGCCATCTGAGCTGTAAGTGAATCTAAAGGTCTCCAGCCCAGTCTTGTGAGAGAACAGGGAGGGGCTTTTCATGGGAGGAAGGAGTAAAAATTTTGCATCACCTTCACATGAAGAAAAAAGCTCATGATGGAAATTTTATTACAGAAGGTATAAAATATTATGGCAGTTGATATGTGTTGCATACAAGACTTTGTTGCAGAATTTTAAATTTGGCTTTTATAGTGCTGTTGGCCCCAATTCATTGGTTGGACTGGGAACCAGGAAACCAGGTTTGGTCCTGGATCTATCTCCCTAGCTAACTTCAGCCTCTTCATTTTCAAAATCTTGATAAGAGGGGCTAGTGTTTAGCATAGTGGTTAAGCTGCTATTTGGGACGGGTGCCTCCTCTATCAGAAAGCCTGCTTTGAGACCTGGATCCTCCACTTCTGATTCAGCTTCCTGCTAATGTGTATCTTGGCTCAAGTAGTTGGGCACCTGCCCCAATGTGGGCAACTTAGATGGAGTTCCAGGCTCCTGGCTTTGACCTGGCCCAGCCCTGGCTGTTGAAGGCATTTGGGGAGTGATCCAGTAGATAAAAGAGCTAACTGTCTGTCTGTCTCTCTATCTCTGTCTCTGTCCTCTGCCTTTCAAATAAATAAATAAAAATTAAAAGAAATAAAAATGTTGATAATAACATCTGCTCTACTTGCCCCACAAAGTCGCTGTGAGAAGCAAATAAACATATACGAGCATACTTTCACAAAGTTTGTGGAAAATTGTATTAAACAATGTTAAATGTTTAAAAAATGTTTGAAATCCATGCATTTTAAGGGTCTTCAAAAATTTCATTGAAAATGTTTATCATGAAAAAACTATGCAAGGATTTCAAAAATTCTCTGCACTTGACTAAGCTGATCTTTTAATTGCATTTTTCCATGAATTTTTTGAAATGATCTCACACAGTAGAAAAACTGTTCATCTGCCAAAAATGACAAGCCTATTTAGTTAGAAGCCATTGGTATTTTAGGAAAGGTTCATAATTCAAGCAATCATTCACAATTATATGCATGGATAGAGACATGGGAATGAGGTCATTACATAGACAAATTGCTTTCTTTCTCTTAGAAATGAAGACACAGACATCAAGTTTATAGTATCAGGGGCAAGGAATGAAAATTCTCAGACCACATGGCCTGAGCTTTCTGGGCCAGGCTGAGCCGATTTATGTAGAAACCAAGGCTGCAAAACAGATGCAGAAACCAGAGATGCCTGGCAGGGGACACAGGGCAGTCGCCTCTGCTGGGCCAACCTCAGTGTTTGGAGTCAGCTCAGGAACCAACAGCGAAAGACGCCCAACAGAAGATCATCTGAACTCTCTGAGGTTGCAAATACAGTGACATTTGACCATTTAGGGGCCTAGATCCACTTTGGGGAGACAGTAATTGAGAAGAAAAATCACACCACGTGTTTCTACCCCTGGGGAAGCTGAGAAGTGAAAGTTATCTCCTGATGGAACACTGGGTGTGATCATCTGGATAGAGCCCTCTATGTGGAGACATCCAGCTCCTTATCTCTAAACCACGCATAGATTACTCTACATGGCAGAAGGGGGTTTGCAGATGAGATTAAATTTAGAGGGGAGCTGACCCTGGATTACTTTGGAGTGGATCCAATGGGATCACAGGTTCTTGTAATGAGGAGGAAGGAGAGGCAGAGCCAAGAAGGAGATATGGTGACAGAAGCAAGGGGCAGGGGGAGAAAGAGGGACAGCGACAGACTGAGTTTGATGATGAGGTGTTGCTGGTTTTGAAGATGAAGAAAGGAGACCATGGATGAAGAAACCTAGTTAGCCTCTCAAAGCGGGGGAAGGCAAGGAAATGGGTTCTTCCCAGCAGCCTCTGGGAGGAACAGAGCCCTGTTTCCCATTTTCGATGTCTGACTTCGATAACTTTAAGTTATTGAGCTCATGTTGTTTTCAGGCTGTGGTCATCCCTGAAAACTTGACCTCTGTCAATTGAGGAAAGAGATTTAAAAGAATAACACAACCTCAAAGCAGGACTGACAAGATGCTCAAGGTAATCTGTTGGCAGATAATCACCAGCGTCCTTGAATTCCATGGCTAAAGTCGCTGATCCTGAACTGCAGCCCTGGCTTCCAGTCTCTGCTTGCCCTGTGGTTCTCTGTTGGGAAGGCACCTGCACCCCCCCCCCCCATGTAACACGGCAAAAGTGAAGTTCTATGGGCAAACCCACCATGGCTCCCTGCTTCTCTCCACTCATGTCTCCTTCCAGATCCACTAGATCTCTATCTTCCCTGTCTCCCATATCCACAGTCACCAGCAAATATCTTGCTCTTCTCTGAGACGTTTCCCAGACTCTAAGCTACTCTGAGCCCGAGGTCACGAAGGAGCAGCCTATGAATCCCAGGGTGGCGGATTGGGGATCGGAACCGGGAGGTGGCCCACACAGCTGCAGCGTGGCTGGGTGCTTGTGTGCTGTTCCCCCTGGTGCATCAGGGAGAGCTGGTGGCCCGGCAGGCTAATACCAGTCAGCTTAACTCACGTGAACAGGATGGGCCATGTTTTTCCATGCCTGTGTGGCAGTAGGAGGAACATGAGGAAGGCCATGGGAGTTAGCAAGAAGTTCTAGGCTGCAGTATTGAATAAGGAAGACTGGAGCTATCAGCCTGTGCCCGGCCAGCAAGCAGGGGGTAGGCAGGAGCCTGGGCTTGGCCGAGACAGGTCTGGTGCACCAGGGATCAGATAGAAAACACCGCTCTGCTATTTCTTTATGGTAATAAAACCTCTGGTTGAATCAGCCAAAAGTGAATGTCAAATGGTTCAAGGCCCTGGAGCGTAGACTGTCTATCTGATCAGCTGATTGTGGTTTTAAACAGAAAGTCTGCATCGACAAGACACTCTGGAGTTCTGATGACAAAGGCACACATGGACGGTTCAAGGGAATCCACAGTCACCCTACCTTCTTGCTTCCCCCTTGCCCCCAACACACAGCATTATACAGAAGCACAGGGTTACAGGAGTTAGAGGTAAAGCATTCTGCTTTCTATTCGCGGGTTTTCCTGAATTTCAGAGACAAGGAGGACACCCCAATATCCCACTCAGCTGTCTTCACTCCTCATTGTATCTCAACAAGCATCTTTGGGAAAGAGAACCCCTGGAGATACAACATTCCCAGCCATCATTCCTTCAATGCAGGTTTTGCGGAATACAACCCTGAACAGAAGCACCTACATGCTCCGACGTGAAGGCGATGAGCCTGGGGACAGCAGCCATTCCTTTCTCCTTGACTTCCGGGAACATCTTAAAGCGCGCGATCAGCATGGCGTACATGTTCGATATGGCGCCACCTACAGGGCACAGCGACACACCCGGTTACCGCTTCAGGTGACTGCCCACCATTGCCCAGGAAGGCAGCATTCCTCATCCCCACTCACCCAGGGTCCTGTGTGGACACGAGGGCTGTGCTTTAAGCTGAACCCTCAGACTGGGAGAAGGCACTTTGGGCCTCACCACAGGACCCAGGCCACCCTCCCACAGCCCGCCTGTGTCGCCAAGGGGAACCATGCTTGATTCTGGCCCTGCTGGGAGCCCTCAGAAGAGAGCATTTTGCCTTCCTTATGCTTGTGAGTGCAAGCATTCTGCAAGAGGCCTGTCGAATCCTACTTTCACCCTGCCGGAGAGCAGTAACATCTCTTCATTTCAGCTCGAGCAGTGCCTTGGGCTCAGACTGACACACACGTGCTGCTCTGAGCTATCATTCTTAGAGGGGTCGGCGCAGCGGCACAGTAGGTTAATCTTCTGCCTGCAGCCCCGGCATCCCATACGGGCACCGGTTCGAGTCCCGGCTGCTCCACTTCTGATCCAGCTCTCTGCTGTGGCCTGGGAAAGCAGAAGATGGCCCAAGTGCTTGGGCCCCTGCACCTGCATGGGAGACCAGGAAGAAACTCCTGGCTCCTGGCTTCGGATTGGCTCAGCTCCAGCCTTTGCAGCCATCTGGGGAGTGAACCAGCAGATAGAGGACCTCTCTTTCTATCTCTCCCTCTCACTGTCTGTAACTCTACCTCTCAAATAAATAAAATATTTTTAAAAATTATTCTTAGAGAACACAAGATAGATACCCATCTATTTATTCACTGCCTTGCCCCCAGTTCTTCCATCACAAAAACATTGTGGATATAATTGAGTTAGCAAGATCTTATTGCATAATTGTAGGAATAGTCACAGCTAAGAAAGCTTTCAGTCTGTATTGAATTCCGTCTCCTGTGTGTCATCCCTAAGATTGTCAGGGGTTTCATGTGATAAGATTAGGGTCTCACTTGACAAGCAAGGAAAGTCAGCTTTCCCCCTGGGGTTGTTGGCAAATTTAGGATTTTTGCTATCCAGGATAAAGACAGACTGTAGGCAGTGCAAATGGGCATGCTGGCTCAGAGGGGTGAAACTACACAGCAGGGTGAGGGACTACTCTCCTCTCCCATCAAGGGGAGACACCCCCAGTCCTGCCACGATGTGGGTGCTTCAAGTTGCCTTCTCTGCTGGTGGCTGAGGGGCAGGAGGGCAGGGCCCTTTGCCTCACCTGCCCTGGACTCTGGCCCAGGCAGGCTGGCTGGGATGGAGCACTCAGCACCCAGACCCTGGCTCCTTCCTCAGTCAAAATGAGGGCAGTTCCTACCTTTCCAGACCCCAGAGACACAGGACAAGTAGAATCCAGGTCAGGCATGCTCCGAGCAGACACCCTGACTCGAAGGCTGACTGTAAGATGCTGAAGAGGGTGTCAGCTTTTAAAGGAACCCTCACTGTAGTTCCTGGGTTCTTGGGCTCGGTACTGATTGACATTTGGGTCACAAGATTCTGGTGGTGAGGGCTGTCCTGAGTACTGCAGGGTGTGTGGCAGTATTGGTATTGGTAGCATGATCTGTATTGGCAGTATGGTCTGTGCCCATCAGACGCCAGTAGCACCCTCCCTTCCCCAGTTACAATAACCAAAACCATCTGCAGACATTGCTAGATGTTCCTAGGGGGAGGCAGTGACAAAATAGCCCCGCCCCTGGTGGAGCACTGTAGCTCTGGTTCTTCTCAAAGATACTGGGGAAGGGAGAAGAGGTGATGAGAAAGGAGTAGATATTGAGGGTACTTCAACCATTGCATGGAAAAAAATGGCAACTAAAAGTTAAGCTTATTCCGGTGCAGGATTTTTTTCTTGAAAGCCATGCACAGTCTTTTCATTACATGAACTGCCTAAAAACCTCTCTTATGTACGGATTTTGGAACTTTTGTTTGCACCAAAACATATCTTTTCTTGCAATTTTCAATTATCAAGACAAATGTATCTTTTTCATGCAGTTTTCCTTGAACTTACTGAAGTCGCCTCCTGCGTACAAAGAAAGCTCTTTCTGGGGCAGTGATCCACCCAGCCTCCAGCCCTGCCCGCCCACTCCTCATTTGACAACTCACTGAGCCTCCCGCTAAAAGCTATGCAAGCTGGGGAGCTCCCGTGCCTCTGAGGAAGGAGTCTCTGAGTGTGCGAGATGGAGGAGTAAGGCAAACCGAGCAGAGCCGTGTGTTCCAGCCACAGATATCCTCTTCACTTTCAGCTCCAGGGGTGGGCCTTTTAGATAGATCTCAGGCACACAGGGTGTGTGGTTTTCCCCATTCCTTCCCCTGACACTGTAAGAACCCAGGCCCAGGAGCAAGGCTAAATGCTACCTGGTAACGCATCCATTAGCAGGTTAGGAGGCTCTGAGCCATCTCTCTTCCATGATACCTTGCAAGAAGCAGAGCAGAGATGAGTTCTCTGCTGCCCCCAACAACTGGCAGTGCCTAGCCTATACTCCAGTGTGACATCTATGGCTTCCATCTTGGGGTGAGGACACAGAGGCTTTTAGGCCCCAAGGAAGGAACACCAAGTTCAAAGTTAAGTCCTCTCCGCTTGGTAACTCCCCGTCAGACATGAAGGTGTAGGGAGCAAGCCCTAAATCAATACTTAGCCAAGCCCAACTGCCACAGCGGATTCTTTCTCCAGGGTGTATGTTTTCTGGATTGTGTAGGTTCCCAGCCCCACCATGTTCATGAGGCCTGGCTCATAGTCAAGTCACTCAAATGTTCAGGGCCAACAGGTACAGCTATTCTCTCCCTACTCCTGGGTACCATTAAATTGGATCCCAGGTACCCTTAAATTGGATCCTGGATACCAGGATCATTGTACCATTGGATCCTGGGTACCATTAAATTGAATCCCAGGTTGCTCTCTGTTCATGTCAGGGACAGCTCAAGTCTACATCTAACCCCAAAGAGAGGCAGAATAAAGGCGGAAGTAATGCTGCTCCCGGCCCTACCTAAGTCCCTCAGGAAAATCACCGTCAAAGCCTCAGGTTCAGGCCAGAACGATAAAGCGCTCTCAACAGGGACCGGGTTTCCAAAATCAAACCAAGTACCAAGCTCCCAAAGCAAACAGAGGCTAGCTTAAAGCCATCACAGCTGGTGTTTGATTTTTTTTTTTTTTTTTTTTTAGAAAAAAGCTGATTTTTCCCTTTCATTTCACTAACGCCTTTTTTTCCCTTCGGCACCTAAAAAGCTATGCTTCATAATCAAAAACATAACATAAAATAGCAGGTCTGGGTTTGTAGGAAAACATGTTTCACTGATGCCCTGGCTTGGGGGCCACTGTTGCTTGTTCACCATGGCTTCTTGCCACGTTTTCCTATCTGTCTCCCTTCCCTGATTCTCCATTTGTCTTTGCAGAACTGCTGAAGGGAGATCAAGCCCAGGCCTTTTCGGGGCCTGTCACAGCAGCAGATGTGCTGTTGGCCTCTCTGGTGGGGCTGTCTCTGTATCCTAAGGATCCCCTGCCCTGGCTACCACCCACAAGGTCAGGTCTGCACACGAGGTCTGTTTTCCACGGGTCAGTGACTCTCCCCACTGCTTTCCCGACTCCTATTTCTTCTCTGCATCGAGCCAAGGTCACACACAGACTCATGAACCAAGGGCACGGCTTTTGATTCAGGTTGATTCTCTGGGCTGGAAAGAGGTGTCAGTCGTGGGGCTCAGAGTGCCGTGGCTGGCAGTAAAAGACAGAATGGGTAAGACTGAACGACGTGATGATTTCCTGACCAAATAACCAGCCTCTTTTTTTAAACTCTAAGACATGATCTCCGGAGGGCACTCTCTTGCCTCCTTGAAATCAGTCTAAGTCAGCTCCCCGCCTTGTTATTTCACAGACTAGGATGGTACCTACACTCTACAGATCAGGCTGGTTATGCATCCTTGAACAGCTAATGTTTTATGAAATGAAACTCTCCTTTTCCTTTCCCTAGTTCTGGGAAGAGCATCAGAGAGTAAATTTCCTTCTTAGGGATCTTTATGCCTCCGTTCCACATTATCCACACATCCTGCAGAAACGCTGGGTCAATCCCACCTCTGATTGTGCTCTTTCTGAACAGAAATAGCTAGTGTTCAAGCACGGGGTCGTTAGCTTGGAGGCCTGCTCCACGGTCCTGTGCACTCATCAGACTCATTCTTTTGATCAACACACAGCCTATTGAACTTAATCTGAAATACAGATGAGATATTTAACCATTCTTGGGTTCACAAGGCATGTCACAAGGAAGAAACACAAAGGTTAAAATAGCATATACCAGGAGAAAATATCCCATCGCCAGAGCCCCCTGGCCAGCCAATGATTTCTCTCATTTTCTTTAGCGTGACATATTCCAAAAGCACAAATACAGGAGCGATTTCATAGGTGAACCTGCAATACAGAAATGGCTTTCTTTTATGCGTGTAACTCGAAGAAATATCTCATCCTCACTACAATAGTCACAGGACTATTTCCTTTCTCAAATTTTAAGTTTTCAAATGTGATGATGACAGTGATCATAACATTAAGCTGAGAGAAACTTATTTGCAAAAGATCTTTCAGAAGCTTTGCTCATTTTTCTAGATATCTAAAGTCAAGAGCTTCGGCTATTGGCATAACCCACCAGGGAGGTTTATCCTATTGAATAAATAAGAAGACAGAGTAACACTATTTGAAAAAGAACATCTAGTCATATTTCTCTTTCACATCATACATAATTATCACTTCAAAATGCTAAAGAAGTCCCCCTTTTTGAAAGATTTTTTCTGTAGTTTGCGTGAAAGACATATCAGAATTATTTTCTATTAAGTGAGGTTGAACATCCATGCTTTGGAAATCGGTAACCCTATTTTAGGAGGGACTGAATAAAAATAGATTTTCATACAAGAAAATCTATGAAATCTCATTTATGATGATCTAGATCACACAGAAACACATTAGCCACTTACATGTTAGTGTTGGCTGTTGATGTCAGCCAGTCTGCTGCTAATCCAACCATATCCAAGCCAGTGGACAGTTGATTGAAATATCGGGGATGCCCTGAATAAAATGAAATACCAGAATCAGAATTGCATCTAATAAAATGCATCCAATAAATGCCTCTCAAGCATGATTTCTCTAACTGAAGAATCTTGGATGATCCTTCAGTAATAGGAAATCCATGTTCAGAAATATAATATGTACACACGTATGTGAGCTCAACACACACACACACACACACACACACACTCACACAGAACATCACAACCAGAGATTACTGTGAGCTTTGATTTCTCTTAAAACACACTTTAAAATTTTCCTTTAAACACATTCAAAAAAAATCCAATGTGGTTTTGTAATCTGGACACTAGTTTGTTCTTTTTTTTGCAAACTCAAATGCTTTTGTTGACCCAAAGCAATGCAAAGACAGGTTGGTTTTGTTTACAGGCATGCTGCTAAGAATTCTTTTTTGTTGAGTTGCTCCGAGAATCAGTCATAACATGACATTCGCCAGGCATGCCAACATTCATAATAATATCAGTGACAAATGGCTGATGATTACAAAGACAGGGCAAAAATGAGAAAATAGGACACTGTGCTGAGTGGATCTGCCCTGGATTCAAAAGCTGATGAGCGCCTAAAGAAGGCACGGACAAAGCCAATTCTTGTGAATTCTTCTCTTCCTAAATATTGGATCATCAACAACAGAGCAGCCTCATAGCTGACTTGTAATAAAGCTGCATACGGTCAACATCAGTATCTCGTCAACAAGACACATGAAGATGGATTCAACAGACAATCAGCCCATGAGCGAAGCGTCTCTGCTTCACCTCTGGATTTCTCTAAAACTCCCCCTACCCACATACTCTTGAGGCTGATATTTAAAATGCAATTATAAATATCTGATTCGAATTCTCTGACTTGTCTCATAAAAGCCCATCGATCAGTCTGATTTGCTTAGCAGCAAAAATTCTGGAAAATTGACAATTATGGAAATAACATCTGACACCAGGTATCTGTCTGCTATGTACTGGACACCTGTCTGAAGCCTAGGGATGAGATAGACTCTTGTGGACAGCATTGGTAAAACAAGATAAAGGGAGGCACTGGGGAACGCAGAGGGGGCAGAAGTCAATACAGAGCTTATCTCGCAGCCTGGAGCATTCCCTTATCAGCCCTGGGCAGGTGGCTGGAGAGTCGGGGGCTGGGGAAACAGAGGAGCTGGCAGAGTGCACATTTGAGAGAATCTGGGATGTGCACACCCCTGGGTCGCTCTCCAACATTGTTCTAGCTCCTGTATGGTCATACGTGGTGCCCCTCTCCCATTTTGCTTCTCTCCGAGGCGACCCCATCGGTTTACCCGTGCATGAGAGGTGAAAACAGCTGATGTCTGGAGTACCGCCCTCTCCTCTCTGCCTCATTGCCTCTCGGTCTCATTACAGCACACAGCTGAAACCGCCCGGCTCCCCCTCCCGCTGCCTTCCCTCTCTTTCCCTAAGCCATTCTTTTTCAAAGTGAGGAAATGAAGAAGAATTAGCACATCTATCCATTAATCTCCTCTCCCAGTTCAAACGCATTTCCTGCAGGAATCTGGTGTGGGTGATCACACAGGAGGTAACCCGGTGGAAACACTGGCATAAAAACCTCCCCCACCCACCCCCTTAAAACTGAGAGGGGCTCCAAGATGTGTGTTGTGCCCCCATGCAGCAGGAGGTCAAGTCATCCCACAGTTACCTCCTTTCGTAAACTGTGAAGACAACGTTGATGATTCCATGGCTGGTGTGTGTGTGTGTGTGTGTGAGAGAGAGAGAGAGAGAAAGAAACATGGCTTTGCATGATGCTACAATAAGATTTTGCTGTTCTTGCAGGCTCTCTGCTGTTTACCTATCCATGAAAGGTGAGAACAGCTGATGTCCGTACACACACACACACACACACACACACACCTTGGTCTGCCCTGTCACCCGAGTCTCTCTGATTCCCACTCACTGATAATGATGTGAAAGTGTGGATGGAGAAAGCGTGGTGGCAGGGCAGAATAATAGACCCTCTTGATTTCTGGAAGAAACATTCCCCTAATTGCATTAGCTTGGACCCTACAGGCTGCCTCCCGGGCCTTCCCTGCGAATCCAGGCCAGCCTCTCTGAAAGTGTGAAAGACCTGCCTCCCAGCCTGTCTTCCTGCCAGCCCCACACGCATGCACTTGCCGCCACCGCCGCCACTAACTGCTCCCCAAGCCACCGCCGGAGAGCCTAGGACTCGCTGTGCCGGGAATCGGGGGCCTCTCTCGGGCTGCAGAGTCAGGACACAGCGAGGCTGCGACATGAGGTTAGGGCGCTCCAGGCTCAGGACCACTCCCCATACATTCCCCAAGTGAGCCTAGAAGGATGCACACACTCTGCGGCCGGCCGGCCACCCACTCTGGCCCTGGTGTTCACCACCAGCGGCGGAGGGGCCCCAAACTAGGTGCAGGGCGCACACAGACACAGGAACGGCCTCGTTTATGGTGCCTTCCATTTCCTTTGTCTGAGGATTCCTTCCTTCCCCACACACCAGCGCGGCCAACCAAATCCAGTGGTCTCCCCGAATGCTGACACACCAGCTCCAACATTCCAGCTCCTGCATTCCCGACAGGGGTCATCTTTAACGCTACAAGAAGACTTCACCCCAGGTATTTCCCTAATGTCCTTCACCTCTCTCTAAGGTTGGAGCCCAGCTGGAAACCGAGTTAAAGACGCTTAGGAAACAGCTGGTTTCATTAAAAATTTTTTTTCTCTCAGGTAGCATTTATGGACCTGTTGGAAGCAGGGTTAGTAACTAGTTTGATAGACCTTAAATAGTTCCAGGTGACAAGTAAGACAGCTATAGCATAAAAACCTATAAGCTTGCTACTCGATGAGAGAAGCGGACTGATTTTAATTTTTTCAAGCGCTATGTGGGGAGAGGACAGAAGTCTAGACATTAGAATCAAATAAAAATATCACATTAATATTGATGCACTGCTCAGAAATCCACCTGAACTGATCATATTTTTATATGAAATCTAAATAAAATGCGTTAGAACCACACTGGACTGACACCCGGCTGGGCAAGCATGGCCAAAGCTAAGAACTGAACTGGTCTCGGCTCTCGCTGACACTAAATGGAATGTTGATAGACAGAACTATTACTTTCATTGACTTGCAATTCCCATTATCTCCACTCCTTAAATTGCATTTCAAATACCACCAGCTTTTAAGGAAGAAGATGTAAAACATCTTTATAGACTGTTCAGTAGCAATATAAATAACAGGCAGCGGTTTGCCAGTAACATATTTAAATAGTAGCTAAACAAAAATGGATTACAAGTATGGGGGGTTGTTTTTAGTCTTAGTGTGTATAGCATGTGGGTTTGCCATGCACAGTAAATGAGGATGACATCTGATCAACCCCCAGAAAGCATGTTTCTCAGACTGAGTTTGATCGAAATTGACAAGCTGAATTCCTTTCCCTATGCATTTAGTTCTAAATCCACAGTCTTACAAAAGTGGCTACTAATAATTCAGGAAATTGATTCATCAAGGCTCGTTGCATGCATACCTTTCCTCTGCCAGTATAAACAATGTAGGGACAACAACAACAAAAAAAGAAAATAAAGAAGAGCTAAAACATCACACAGCAAATATTCCTAAAATGTTATTTGTCCATAACATGGTACTGAAAACTGATAAAGAAAACCTGTGCAATACAAAAGGATGGCATTTCTATGGTAATGCTCATGGAATATTTTACTGATTTTTATTTGCTAGCAAATCCTTTTAAGGCTACAAATCAATTTAAGTGCACGAAGTCTCCTCCTCCCCTAAAAGTTCATTCGTCCTTGTTTTTATCGCTTTCATGAAGTGCCATGTCCTCAAGGATCTGGATGGTGAGAGATGATACGGAAAAGGAAGGCCGAGCATGACCTGGGCACATGAACAGCTGGTTTTGTGTCGATAAAATAAAAGCTTGGAATGTACCCAAATACATTACACCTGGAGCTTTAAGAAGGGTAGAACACGAAGAACGCTGTGAGATACCAATAGGCAGACTATAAGATACGTGTTAGAAATTTTTCCTCTAAGGCTATGAGACTCTCCCTTTCCCCCTTTCCCCTTTTCTCTTTATCTTATAATACACAGAGGCCAGACAGGACTTAATCCTTCCATACCAGGGCTGCATTGCTCGTCCACATTGTGGTTTTGGTGTGGGTGTGGAGAAAAACCTGGAATTCAGATCTGAAGTCTTGGCCATTGAGACAAAGCCAAAGAATTCTCTCTCCAGCTGGATGGTGACACCGAGTGGTTATTCTAGTGTCTGGGTGGTTCTGTGCCTAGGGAAGGACCAGCACCCCACTAGCATTCAGGCTTTTGTTTGAATCATGCCTTTTGATCTTTCCTTTCCATATCCCCTTTCTGTCTCCATTTTGGGTCGCTTCTACTGGCCTCTGCTGCTACACCAGCGGTTGATGTCTGTGGCCAAATACATGCAACACAAAAGCTGATGATGTATACTTAGCGTTTGTGATTTTACCAGAAGCATCAACAGTTATCACGCTAGTAAAAGGTGCTTTTGACTGGAATCAGTCTCCTAAGGACAATTTCTGAAATGATGGACATAACATTGCACGTTTGAAAAGAACAGGAGTTCCACAAAACGGAAAGCATGTCATGGGAACAATACAAATCGTAAATGTAAAAAGAGCTTTATTATTGCAATGGGACAATACCTGTTTTAATTGCATATTTTAGAGTTGTTTGGCAATGCATCAAAATTTCCTCCAAATTTTGTGGGTGCTCTGCCAGTTCCCAATTATACTCTTGAAGAAGCTCATTGGGATAATGGAAATCGATCACTTTGGTGGATCGATCAAAACTTTTCACCACGTACTGAAGCAGAATGTCCACAACCTCTTGCAGAAAGGCGAGGGTGGGCCTCTCGCCCCCGAAGGCGGGCAGCAGGTCTGAGGGACGGAATAAAAAGGCCACATTTCAATTTACCCGTGAATACACGCAGGCAGTATCTTGATCGGGCAATTTCTCCTTGAACAGATTATACGATTTTTTTAAAGAGCATTTTCTGTAAAGGGATCACTTTTCACAGAGGAAAGCAATCAATGAGAGGAAATACGACTTCTCTTCCCTTCCTCATCAATTCTTGCAATTTCAATTCCTAGCTTATTGTTCGTTTTCCTTTAGACAAGAGAGCGCGGCTCCATTGGTCTGTTCCCAGGAGCGCATCCTAACTGTCACTTCTCAGTGAATCCTCTTAGATGCCTACGGACGCATTTTCACATCAGCAGTGTCTGGGGAGTGCCTTCGGGCGCACCTGGCTGCGCAGAACCCAGCACGTTAGGGTTTCGGGGCCATGGAAGACCCGCTCTTTCCGCGTCGATGTGTGTGTGTGCATGCACGCGCGCGCGTGTGCGTTTGGAGACCGGGCGTGCAAATGCACGGGGAGTTGTAGGGGTCAGCTTCGCACACGGCTGTCGCTTGAACAGAATCGAGTTTCTGTGACACCGCTCTGATCTCACCCCCTGAGTCCCGGTCTAGATACCCGGACCCCGAGTCTCACCTGGCGCGCGGTGGGTGGGGCCGGGCCCGTTTTACCTGTTGCGTGCAGAAAGGCGTAGTTGACGTCCGCTTTGGGGCAGCTGCAGGGCTTCTGGTCGCAGGCACAGGCGGCCTTCCGGGCGGGGGCCCGCGAGGGCTGGTTCCCGCCGCTGTCGGCTGGCTTCTCGGTGTCCCCGTAGAGCAGCGCTGCGCAAGGATGCGGAGAGCGCGGGTTGCGGTCAGCCGATGGGGATGCGGGGGTGAGAAGGTGGCTTTGACCCGGCGCGCGCGCGCTGCAAGCGCCTGACCTTGCCCGCCCCCAACGCGCCCTTCCCTGGACCCCGGGCACTCACCGCACAGCTTGTTTCCGATGCCGCCCGTGAACTTCTGGGCCACCTGGCACCAGGCTCTCGCTGCAAGGAGGGCAGAAAGAGAGCGCGGACGCAGGTGTGAGATTTCGTTCTGTGTGAACACCGCCAACCCGCGCGGGGTCAGGGCAGGGGCCGCCTTGTCTCCTGCAGGGGCCTCCCCGGACTCCGCGCGGCTGCAGGTGCGGAAGGCGTGCAGGAGCCTCGCAGCGCGGCTGGCCCTCCATTCAGTCCGTGCATCTGTTTCGCAAGGAGGAGCCCAAGCCACGGCCCTCCACCCTCACCCACCAAATGCCCATCGGCCAAGGAAGCTCTCCTCCCCGCCTAGGCACCCAGGATGTCCATGTCCTCGCATGCTGTTTCCAGACCTAAAAATCCTCTTCCTCTTTCGCATTTTCCCCACTTTCTCAGCCGCCACTCCGCCCCTCCCCAGCGTCCCAGGCCCCCGGGATTCGGTGTCCTGGAGGTGCCGTCGTCTTTGGGGATGAAGGAGCCTGAGGCTCCTGGACGTCTTTCCTGGGGCCGCCAAGGACTTAGCCCTGGAGCAGGGCTAAGGAAGTTTTCTGATGCAGGGAGTCTTCCCCTGCCTCCTCTCTCCTCCCTGGCATGCACACCCCAGGGCACCCGCAGATCTCGCCTCATGCCGTCTCCCGTTCTCGTACCTGTGCCAGGGTTCTCGGGGTCTCCGGAGCCATCTTCAGTCCCGAAGGACCAGAAGCCGGAGCCCGGAGATGCCATCAGCGCTGCGAGCCGGGAGCAGGTTGCTTCCGAGTGCGAGCTGCTGGGGAAGCTGCCACCAGCTCGGCCCCGTGCGCGCGCGCGCGCGTGCGTATGTGTGTTGTGTGTGTTGTGTGTGTGTGTGTGTGTGGCGGGAGGGGGCACCGCGCGCGGCGAGGGTGGGTGTCACACAGGGACAGCCAACGTGCGTGTCTGCCTGCGCGGGTGCGCGCGGCGGGTCGGGCTTAGGGATCTGGACACGCTTTGGAAGCCGTGCAGGTTCAATGGGGAAGGAGTCAGGGGGACCCGGACAGTGGAAAGTACAGGGCGCCGGGAGGGAGCTTAGTGGGGATGGCTGAGGGGGCGGCGGAGAGAGGACGTGGGCGAGGGCGAGGGTGCGAGGCTGACTGCGCGCGCCAGCTTGAGTCAGAGGCCCCAGTGGGAGGCGTGCAGGCGCGTGAGCCCCCGCCCGCCAGAGCGCGCTGTCCAGGGTGCTACCGAGGCCGGCCGCGCACGGACCTCCGCCAGGGGCACACAACAGGGAGGACGTGGAAGGTGGCTGCTACTGTTTCACTGGTGCCCCGAGGGGCGTATTGCGTGGCTCCTGCTGCGTGGAAGGAAGCGCGGTTCCCGCGCCGCCTTTCTCCAAGCGAGTACTGAGGTCGTGGCGACCGCAGAGCCAGAATCGGGCGCCGGTCACGACGAGCTTCCGGAAGGAGGAGGTAGAGGAACAGCGCCCACGCACGGGTGGGCGCGTTTCAGCTCCTTAGCAGAGCCCGAAGCCTGTCCTGGGGCGCGCCGCTCCTGCGCAGTCCCGCGCTGGGTGGCCGCGCCCTCTGTCCAGGTTCAAAATCCACGCTGGGGTCTGTCACCGACGACCTCCGGCTAGGAATAAAATCATAAAACGCACCGACGCTTCTTGGGAGGGAGCAGGGGAGAGTGGCCAACGCCGGCGGGGTTGATGGCAGACGGGGGGATGAGGTCACTGGGTGACCTTGGCTGGACAGGCGTGGATGCGCCTGCTGCTCGCAGCGTGGTGGGGAGAAGCGCGCGGGGTTCCAGCTATGCAGCCTGGGCTTTCCAGATCCGAGCAAAGACACCATCCACCGGGCCCTCGTTTTTTAGGGGATCCCAAACCAACGATCCCTGCGCCCCAAGAGACTCTTCACGGTGGGTGGGATCTGCTGTCTCCGAGGTTCTGGGGTGGGAAAGAGGTTCCTCATTTTCTAAGGAGGAGAAAGCATCTTTTCTCCGCGATGATTTCTTTTTTCTAAAAGCTGCCGACGCTGGGAATGCGCCCAGAGTGTCTGGGTTCCCCGAGTTCTTTTTTGCTTTCTCTGGGCGGCCGAGATCAACTTGACATGCACCTTGGCTGCTCCGAGACTGACCCGGGAGGGAAAGGACTGCGTTCGGCCTCCCGCGGCACCTGCCCGCCGGCGCCTCCCGGGAGCCTTCCTCATTTCCTTCGGGCTCGCGGGCGGTTCTCCCAGACCTCCCTAGCCAGTTATCAGATCGGTTTCTCAGTTTCGGCTACCACCCCTCGACGCTTGCTCGGGAGTAGGAGTCGTGGGGTCCGAGGGGACCACGCGCAGGCCCACAGCTTGCGTCCCCAAGCGCACTGTCCCCGGGCCAATGCTCTCCACAAAGCTTTGTTCTCTCCCTGCGTGCCCGAGTGCTGGGGATCCGGCAGGAGCCATCGGATACGCCCTGTGGCCGCCGTCCTGGGGCGGGGGGTGAGCGCGGGGAGCGCACTGGTGGTGGAGCCGCGGAGGGCGTGGCGCTGAGCCGGGCAGTGTGGAGCAGCTCCGGCAGGGCTGCAGGGGCGCGGCGGTCAGGCACGCAGGCTTTGGCTGGGCCCCGCTTTCCCGCCCTCCCGGCTCCAAGTGTTCCAGCTGGCCAGGCGACAACTCCGGGAACGCAAAGACTTCGTGGCTCAGCTGTGCGCGCCGCAGCTAGGGCAGCCCCGCGGCTCTCGATCCAGCCGCGCAGATACGAGCCGGGGAGACTGCTTCTTTGATGAACTCCACGCCAAATTCGGCAAATACTTTGCTTCAAGGCAGCAGGAACTTTTCCACTAGGGATGAGTGGTCGAGAATTTAAAACAAGCGTTCAGCGCGCGCGCCCACAGAGGCAGAAACGGATTAAAACACGAGGAAGGTAGAAATCCCCTCCACATTTTTATTTTATTTATTTTTTTGGTAAGGCGATGATTTACAATGCTTCTGTTTAAACTCCATGAAACCCCCTAGCTCCGAATACTTTAAGTCTCACGGTGTTATTCCTATTTTTCCCCTTTTTTATTTATAAACACACACGTTACTTGAGAGGCAGACGGGGATACCCAATTTGTCTTCCTTTAACGCTGCCTAGACAGCGGTTGGCTTGGTAAAGACTTGGATTTCGCAAAAGAGCCGGCTCACCCTCTTGCTGGCGCTCCGGGTTGCAGATAACAAAAGAAGGCAGGGAGCTCATAATTACGGTCATTAGCGCACAAAGGAGGCAGCCAGCGAAGCGCGCAGAGGCGGGCCGCGCAGGGGGCGGCTGTCCAAGGCCCTTCCTTGGACGACCCAGTACCTGTTCTGGGCTCCGTTTCGCCCTGGGATCTCGCCGCCGTCCGGGGCCAAAGAAGAGGGCCCAGGAAAAGAAAGCAAGCGAGAGAAAGCCTAAAAGGAAACAAAAACATGGCACCCTCCCGCCGAGCTCTGTGTCTCCAGTCTCGCTTTTTGGCAGTGTGAGTGTGGCTGGCGGGAGCGGCTCCGTCATCTCCCGCATCCCAGCCACGAAAGGCCGGGCCGCCGGGCCGCCCGGGAGGTCTGGATTCAAAGACGCAACTGCAGCTCGGCGCAGCTCGGTTTGCTGCCCCTCGAGGGTCTCCGGCCTGGGTGAAAGGCTGGTTAGGGCCGAGGGCCCCGGGTCGCCGCGAGTTACGGACGCTTCCCCTCCTCTACACTCCGTCCGCAGGGCTCTGCAGCTCCCTGGATATGGGCAGCCCGGGGTGACCCCTCTCCCCTCCAACATTCCCTCCCTACCCCTGCCCCCAGCCCCCAGCCCCAGCAAGGCCACGGCGCCAACGCAGGCTGAGAAGTAGGGCCTAGAGCGCGTGCGTGGTCTCGGGGCCGGCCCTGCTGCACCGCTGAAGGGTTCCCCTCGGCCGGATCTCTTCTGGAAAGTGCAAAGGTCGGCCAAGACATCGCTGGAGGCTTGTTGGTGCCACCTCGTTGGGTTGGAGAGCGTTAAGACGTGCTGGGCGCGAGCTGTGCCAAACGTTAGCAGCCAGCTGCGTTTCCCGTTTCTCGAAGTTTTCTCCAGAGTCCTCTTGGGTCGGACCTCTGCGTGCAGGAGCCCAGGACACCTGCAGAAGGGACAAGCCCTGTCCAGGCGAGAATCCTTCGTACAACTGAACCTTCGATGCAACCGTCTGGCTACACTCATCCTCTCCGGGCCGTGTAGACGGCAGAGGGTGTCAGTTGCATAGTTAACTAGATGAAGGAATGCAAACCTGTGCCTACCCGACATCCTCCCCTCCCCTATCTTACATACACCCACGTGGGAGCAGCGGTGATCGTCCCAAGTCTGCAGACGACGGGAACTGAAGGTCTGACAGCGCTGCTTAGTGGTGGCGCCAGTGGAAGTCACAGCAGCTGGGAACGCAGCTTGTGTGCCTCTTGTGTGGTACATGGGGAGTGGGTCGCGTTTTATGTCTCAGAGGCGGAGTTTCCTACGAGAGGGGTTGGGGGTGGGGAAGTTCCCTTCTGGAGGCGGAAATGCCCTGACTCCCCCTCCCCCCACACTGGGGCGCAGCCACGGGCACAGAGGTGGAGCCGAGGGAATGTCGCTGCAAGGCCACACTGGGGCGCAGCCACGGGCACGGAGTGGAGCCAAGGGAATGTCCCGCAAGGCCACACTGGGGCGCAGCCATGGGCACGGAGTGGAGCCGAGGGAATGTCCCCGCAAGGGAAGGGGACGTCGCGAGCTTTCCGAGGCACTTCCTTTATTTGGTAACCCAGATAACCCAGGCAAAGGAAAGCCCCGCTTGGGGTGACATTCATCTGGAGATCTTGCTCACGCCCACACCCTGGGGTGGCCCGCGGCCTGGGGAGGCCGTTCCCAGAAAGAAGAAATCATCGAAGTCACCCGAAAGGAAAGGGTTTGGCGACAGTTCCGAGGCTGCCGGGTCCCCAGAGGAGTGGCCAACAAGTGAGCAAAGACAGGTGTTGTGGGCCAGGGCAGATGATGCCCCAGACGGTGGCCTGGTCCCAGTGGAGGGCGCGGGGTGCGGCTTTCCCAAGGGCCCCCAGCTCTCCTCCTTCCGAAGGCTGCTTCCGAAGGTCGTGGCTGCAATGCCTGGTGGTGCCAGCGCCTGAGGCTCCTCCCCTCGCCCCCAAGGCCCTGCAAGCTCCACTCTTTCTCCAGGGCTGCGGCCGCCCAGCGGCTGGGCTACAACTGTTGCACAAGGCGCTGGCGCTGGGAGGTTTTGCGCAGGAGCCTCCTGTAGTCGAAGGGGTTGGCTGCTGGCCCGCTGTCCCCCTCGTCGGGGATCTCTGCCACCCAGCACCTGCGATCGAGACGGGTGCGCATGAAGTTAGCAGCGCCTGGCACACAGAGCATCCCACCCACCACAGGCATTCAATGCAGGCGCCATCCAAACATCAGAATGACAGACAGCGGCAGCTTCCCTAATCCTCTTAGCGAGCTTTGAAAATAGAATCCCATGCCTGTGTCTGGGTGAGAGAGCAAAGCACCACGTGTAGCCGGGAACGCACTTCATTTGGGTGCAGATAACTCACAACTGATAAATATGCATGATAGTGTCTTCATTTTTAACACGCTGGCCAACAAGAACTCCAAGTGTCCAGGTAGCCACCCACCGCTGTGTGTTTAAAGACGGTCCCAATAGTTCTTTTTTCTTTCTTTCTTTCTTTCCTTCCTTCCTTCCTTCCTTCCTTCCTTCCTTCCTTCCTTCCTTCCTTTCTTTTTTTTTTTTTGACAGGCAGAGTGGACAGTGAGAGAGAGACAGAGAGAAAGGTCTTCCTTTGCCATTGGTTCACCCTCCAATGGCCGCTGTGCCAGGCCGTGGCTGGCACACCGCGCTGATCCGATGGCAGGAGCCAGGTGCTTCTCCTGGTCTCCCATGGGGTGCAGGGCCCAAGGACTTGGGCCATCCTCCACTGCACTCCCTGGCCACAGCAGAGAGCTGGCCTGGAAGAGGAGCAGCCGGGACAGAATCTGGCGCCCCGACCGGGACTAGAACCCGGTGTGCCAGCGCCGCAAGGCGGAGGATTAGCCTAGTGAGCCGCAGCGCCGGCCTAGTCCCAATAGTTCTTAAAAGTGCTCTCCCGGATCGGACCCAACCGCTGTGTTGGCCACACAGGAGCCCCCTGCCCTGCTAACTTTGTCAAACCTTCAACAGTTTTCAAGGAGGCTGCCAGGTCATCTTTCCTGGTCTCACTGCTGTGAACCCCTGCAAGGGGTGGGGTGCTCCCTGCTCTGCAGCTATAGTCACTCACTCATTCAGTTGTGGGGTACGCTAAGGGCCAGGCACCAGTGCAGGTGACAGAAGAACCAAAGTGCTTGCTTTTATGGAGTTTATGGTCTAGTTTGGCAGAGGACCATAGACAGTTTAAAAGTATGAGATGATGAGAGGCATTGCACAGAAAATTAAGGGTAGTGGAGGAAGGCCGATGGGGTATGTGTGTGTGTACAAGCTATTTCCTTGTAGAGGGCGCTCAAGTAAAACCACTCTGAATGGGGACATGGAGGACAAGACATTGAACCAGCCATGAGATTGCTTGGGGAAAGGTTACTCATTCCAGGATAACAGATCAACCAACAGAAGGGTCCAAGAGTATGGTGCACATGTTGTGTTCAAGGACCAGCAAGGAGGTCACGGTGGTTGTTTGGAAGAAGTAAGCAGGGGGCGGGGTGGGGGGAAAGGAGGGGACAGTGTGGCCGATGAATTGGCACTTTCACCCTACCTCAAGGACTTAGATTTTTTTTTTCTTTTAGGGTCTTCCTTCTGTTGGTTCACTCCCCAAATGACCACCACAGTGCCGATCCGAAGCCTGGAGCCAGGTGCTTCTTCCTGGTCTCCCATGCGAGTGCAGGGACCCAAACACTTGGGCCATCCTCCACTGCCTTCCCGGGCCACAACAGAGAGCTGGACTGGAAGAGGAGCAACCGGGACTAGAACAGGCAACCATATGGGATGCCGGCACCTCAGGCAGAGGATTAACCAAGAGAGCCATGGCGCCGGCCCCAAGGACTTGAATTTTACTTAGAGCAATAGAAACATTGAAGGATTCTGAGCGGACGAATGTCTCATAAAAGGATCTGGCTGCCAGAGTAATGTCGGGTGGCCAACTGAACTGATCCTACAATAGTCCAAGCAAGACCGAGAATGGCTTGAACTGGGCTTGGAGTGCACAAGGGGAGACTTGGCCGGATGTTCAGGAGGTAGAACTCAAAGAGTTCGCTGAGGGCTTGGATGTGCAGTATAGAAAACAAATCAGCAGTGTCCCCAAGACTTTTAACTTAAACGTTGCTATCAATGACAGGAGGAAGGTGACAGAGGGGTGACAGAGGAGCACGTGTGTGTGTGTGTTGGTTATGCCAAGCTTGAGAAACGTACTAGGGTTTAAGAGGATGCCCTGAGCAGGCATTGGGATGTAATCGTATGAAGTTTGATCTAGGTTAGAGATTTCAGTGCAGGAATTCCAAGTCCAGAGACGGTATTCAGTGAACAAAGCAAATAGCTGGGACACTCCAGTCCTGAGAAATCAGCAAGATGATGATGGATGGCCAGTGGAGGAGACTAAGGAGGAGACGCCAATGAGGCAGGAGGCAAGCCAGAAGTCCTGCCCTGGAGGCCAACGGAGAAAGAGTCTGAAGAGGAAAAATAGAGTAATCGTAGGCATTAAATGCTGCTAAGAGGAAGAGAGGATGACAGACTCGATCATGGGACACGGCAAAATGAGACCATGGTGATCCTGGCCAGGGGCAGTTTCCGTGGGGCGTGGGGATGGAAACCTGAGTGAAGGGGTGTGAGAGAG